AATAAAACCGAAATAGTAAGACATATTCAAAAAAGCCACAATTTGATTATGTATTTTATGGGTATTATAGTAAGTTTGGTTTAGGTTAATTTAAACTTTTAGTAATTACCCATATAAAAAATATGGGTTTACTTTGAGCGTTTTGATTTACTTTGAGCGAAATAAAAGACAAAAAAGTGCATTCAACACTATTCTTTCTTCCCGCACATAAATATACAGAATACGTCAAATATATGAACATAGAAAGAGAAATAACTTCCTATAACGAAGAATCTAAAAATGATGCCACTCAAGTCCTATATTGCGATGATCAATTTCATATTGATTAGCCACTTCTTCTGCTATCGATTGATTAAGCCAGAGATTTTCCAATTTCGCATAAAGCTCATGACTAAGATGCAGCGGATTTCCACGTCTATAATACAACATTAAAATTCAAAAATTTTAAATTAGACGCTCCCCGTCAACAGTGAATACTGATTTAACTGTAGGATTATCATATCACAACAACGATAACAAACCAGCACTATCTGACAATATAAAAAGATACCGGAATCCTGAATCCGTTTCACCATAGTCATCCACATAAGGCGCTGGAAGTAAACAGCCTCGTTCACGTGATGTTAACAGCACTATTTGACTGTCACGAATTCTAAATTTTCATAAATAGAAACGGAATTTTAATCCTTTTCAAGGATATCAAGTAATAACTATTTTATATCAAACTGCATTTACTTGGGCATTAATTTTTCAAAAATTTTGGAAAAAAAGACAAAAACTACTTACCGAAGAAACACACCACCGGAGGATCCAGTACAAGTTTTTAAGTGATAAGAACAAGCACCAAGTGTAATACCATCTACCTGCAATAATATTGAAATGTACACCATCCTAATCTTGCTAATCAAAAAATCTGAAACTTGAACCGTAGCAAAAAATATTCTTATAACTCACTGTACGTTGGCAGCAGTAAGTCTGGGAGCAGAGTAATGAACCACATAAAAGGCATAAACTTGGTGCCGATGATGAATGATCGTCGATAGGAACAGAAGGACATCTGAAAGAAGAAAAAAACAAAGAATAAATAAACTTAGAAATGTATGCATCTGTATCTTTAAGCCAACACTATTTTTGTTAAATATTTATTTGTTTTCCGGAAAACAATGCCATATAATGATTCACTGCCTCCGTTCACACGACTCCTCATATCAATGAACTATAGAGCACCATCAATAGAGCCACCACGAGCATGCAACAATAATTAAATCCCGGCTTCACTATGAAATTTCGCCCCTGTGATGTCACCAGTTGAAAATTCCTTCATCAGTTTAATGCCTAACGCAACTATGACTAA